GCTAGCCTTGTCGCCACATCCACGAAGGATGCCTCGGGTGCGCCCCCTTCCGTCCACCCTGCCGCGGACATGGCCACCTACATGAACGATGGCTCCGGCCGTGCCGCCTCCGCCTGAGACGTCGAGGACACGACCGGCCGCACCGCGCCCGCCACGGGCGCCCCGGATGCGCCCTCCTCTGCCTGGTCTCCCATGGACGCAGCCATCGGCTGTGCCTCCTCGGTTGACACCGCGGCCACCCCAACGCCACTCACGCTCACTACCAGCGTGGCGCTAGTCGACTTCTAACGCGTTTGCTGGAGGAGGATCTTTTTCAGAGCGAGCCGCAGGAGAGTCTCACATCCTCCGATGCTGCAAGGGACATGGCGGTCAGTTCGCGGCAAAAATCCATCAAGACAAAATGACAAAAAAAACTCTTAACTCACCCTGACGCCATCATGCGAGGACGTTTTGGGGCCGCCTTGCCCGACCCCGGCTGCTCCTCATCAGCACGTTGTCGCTTCGAGCCCTCCCTTGGCTAGGAGGGCTCAGACAAATCAGAACGGCCACCTCCCGCCGACTCCGGAGGCACCGCCGAGGGCTCAGACGAAGCGGAGCGACCCATTTCCACTGGCTCTGGAGCCACCGTCAAAGGCACAGACAAGGCAAGGTGGCCTGATTCCACCAGATCTGAGGCCACCGTCAAAGGTCTGGACAGGGCGGGGCGGTTTGATTCTGCCAGCTCTGGGGGCGCGTCCTTCCCCTGCTGCCCCGTGGCTTGCCGCAGGAAGGGCCCCGCCCGCGGCAAAGGCAGGTCCTTGTCCCCGGCGGCCAGATCATCCCACAGGATGGGTGACATGGAGCCGTCATCTTCCTCCTCCTCTTTTTTCTTCCTCCTCCTCTTCTTCTGACGAACCTTGATGCCGCTTCCCTCGCTGCAGCTTCACTCGCTGCTTCAACCGCCGTTTCTTCTCCTCATCATCCTTCTTCTTCTTCTTCCTTTGTTCATCCACGACATGGTTCACCGCCCTCACGGCCGCGTGCTCTAGCAGCGGCGTGATGGAGTCCTGGAAGACTTAACCCTACCGACAGCTCAATGAAGCCCGCATTCGGTTGCATCACGGGATGCCCCGAGATCGGGAACACGGCATCGGCCTCCCCCGTGGCCTCCTTGATGCACTACGTGACCTCACTATCATGGAGCAGCCCCTGGGCGAGCATCGTCCTGATGAGCTACGTGTCGGGCGTCATCCCGTACAGCGGGAAGACGCACGCCATCAGGGGCGCCACCCTCCTCGCGTGATACCCCCCCTGATGATGCCGGACCCGCAAAGGCCGTGGATCTTCAAGAACGCGATGGCCTAAAGGAGGTCGCGCATCCTCTTCTTCTCCTTGACGGGTGGCCCCCACGGCCATGACGGCGGAACCTCTTCGATCAGACGCTCGAAGAAGACAATCTAGGGTGTGGCAGGGTCATCCTTCAGGTAGAACCAATACGAGTGTCACCCCTTGTTGGATCTAGACAGCTGGCAGGGCATGTACTCGGCCACCCACTGCCCCCGGAGGTGGATGCCCGTGCATCCCATCGGCACCAGGGTCTCCCGCCCTCTCTCCTTCTTCTTGATCAAGGAGATGGAGAAGAAATATCTCCATAGCTCGAAGTGGGGCTCGATACCTAGGTACCCCTCGCACATCGCGATGAAGGCCGCGATGTGCTGGATCCCATTGGGGTTCAAGTGTTGCAGCTCGATCTGATAGTGGTGCAGCAGACCCTAAAAGAACAGGTGGGGAGGAACCACGCGTCCACGCTCGTGGAAGGGCACGAAGGAGATGACGTAGCCGTCAGGCGGCGCCGGTGCATCCTCACGGCTGGGCATGAGCCACTTCGCCGCATCGGTCCTCCCACAGAGAAGACCACGCTTGACGAGTCCCTCCATGCGCGCATGGGTAACATCGGAGCGGTACCACGAATCCATGGAGGATGGAGGCGGCTGCGAAAAAGCAAAGGTGGCGGCAGAGAAGCGGAAGACACAAATCTAGGGCTCCTGCATCGGATTAACAAGCACGATAGATCCGAACGGCGGCGGTGGAGAAACAGAGAAGGTAAGGCTATGGTTTTGGTGGGCAAAAACATGAAGGGGAGGCCACTATTTATAGGACAGAGAGGGGTGAGAAGGCGAACCGTCCGCCTAGATTGACTCGCCCGCTGCATCGCGTCATGTCACCTCCCTCCGAAGATCGTGCGCACGCTATCTTTGGCCATGCCCTCAAAGAACACGCCGGATGACGGTTCGCCCGATCGATGGGCCAAGAACCGTCGCAGGTAAGGAGGGATACAGAGCTGAAAACGCTCCTACGGCCCATTCAGGTCTAGGAGTTCGAAGGCTAGCCCTCCGACGGGTTCACAGCCGCTCCAAGGCTCCCTTAGAATGAGGGGGTGGAAAGGGATGGGCCCACTAGCAGTCAGTACATGGGCGCACGAGCGTCGTGGGCATCCCGACCCACGTTCGAGTCTTGGTCGGTTTCCAGTCCATGGCTCAGCCCCTCCGTTTTATAGAAAAAAAGTTTGAGGGATGACGATCACAAAGACGAGCCGACCCTCGACCGGACCCCTGCCACGCGCGGGGGCTCGAGAGAAGTTGGACTCACAAGGAGACCGAACGCGCGGTCGTAGTACGATGGCAGACCGATCGGATCCTAGGAGACCGGAATCAAGAACAACCTTTTCGACCTCCCGAACACTACGGTTACATGCTCCAAGAAGACCGATCGCGACAAAAGAGAATCGCCGTCCTACCAGGACACGCCGCGGGCTACAATAAGAAGGCCAAGGCCCTTAGAGTCCTCCCATCTGGAAAAGTCTCCAAAGGAGTATTCTACTCCTCCGCAAGCTCGGGGGCTACTATCGGGTATCGTTATTAGGAATACCCAAAGAAAGGAGGTTAGCGCCCACGCTGACTCCCTCGGATGGCTCGAGACGTATTAAAAGGTCTCAAGCGACCCCAAGGTCGCGGGCTTCGTCTCGCCCAAGGTCGCGGGTTCCGTCTCGCCCGATCGTCGGGTGCGGGCTCCGTCTCGCCCGACCCTCGGGTGCGGATTTTGTCTGGCCCGACCCCTCGAGTGCGGGTTCCGTCTCGCCCGACCCCAAGGATGCGGGCTCCGTCTCGCTCGACCCCTAGGCCACGTGCTCCATCTCGCCCGATCCCCAGGCCGCGGGCTCCGTCTCGCCCGACCCCTCGTGTGCAGGCTCCGTCTCGTCGGACACTAAGGCCGCGGGCTTCGTCTTGCCCGACCCCTTGGGTTCATGCTCCGTCTCGCCTGACCCCAAGGACGCGGGTTCAATCTCGTTCGATGGGGACCCATACCGCCGCCAACCACTCTAGGTACAAGTGTATGGGCCTGGGTCAGGAAAGAGGCTGGCACGCCTCGATGTAACCCGTGGCCATGACGGGCCATACCTGACAATTCACATCAAGAACAGTGTCGGACGTGCCGGTACTGTTCTACCTAATTCTCGTACGGATGTTAACAGGCGCGTCAAATTACCATGACATGCGCCGAGACGGAGTGGAACGCCATGACCGGTAGATGATGCCTGCGCATGGTGCCAGTGACGAACAGGGCCGCGATGTGGAGCCATCCCTGTTGACATCTACAGGATCGACGGGACCCGCATGAAGGAGAAGGACCCGACAATCCTGTAAGCCTTCTTTTCTCTCTTCTCTCTCGTTCTTCTCCTTTTCCTCCGCTGTAACCCGCGCTTTTCCTTCGCCTATAAAAGGGGAAGCAGGGCGCCTCATGAAAAGGGGGCCGGACCACGAGATAAAAACACAAGAGCACGACACAAGCACACGGCTGAGCGGCAATCGAGCTCTCAGCATCCGTTCACTCCTTCCACCAGAGACTTGGGATCATTTCTCTCTCTCGCACGTTTGTAATCCCTACTACAAACCAAGTGCCGGTAACACGAGCAGCAGCGAATTGAACGTAGGGATGTTCCGCCCGAACCAGTATAAACCCTTGTGTCATCCGAGCATGCCATCCGCGCCAGACACGCAAATACAAATTTACTCGTCGGTGGTCCGAAAACACCGACATCCAGTTTGTTCATTGTTCAGCATCTGCACCGTGCTGTACATCCTTCTTTATATTTGAAGTCTTGCCAACACGGCATTTGTCAATGGGACTTGACAGGTTAACATGGCTGGCACCAAACTATTTACTCCCTCCGTCCCATTGAGTTTGTCGTTGGAAAACCGTGCCCCCCTCACAATCCCGCTTCCCGAGCGACAATCTTAACGGGACGGAGGGAGTACATGGGAACATGCGAATGCAAGGAATTTTTTGATGATTTTCTTACGAGAACTATTTACATGGGAACACAGAAACAACTAGCTAGAAGAAACTTGAGTTTCGAGTTTTGGCTTCATGTTGATACCATCGCTGTAAGAGAAAAGTAAACACTGTTCCAAGGTGGGTCCCCCCCCCCCGGCAAAACATCTCGAGACTAAGACCTCAAACTCCTGCAGTGTCAGCAAATACTACTTTGTTTGACATAGAATAGGGGCTACTAGATGAATACAAACACATGGTTGTATAATCTCCAGTTGGTATATTGTTCAAATATCTGCACTGCATCGTTGACAAGTTGACATGGCTACAACCAAACAACCAAAGCATATTGTATCCTCGTAGTTATTATCGCCAATACAAAAGCTACTTGAAGTTCATACTTGCACCGATGCTCAGATAACAATGCTTTCAGAATTCAGATACATACAAGACTATTGATAGCACCAGCACAGTCCAAGCAATTTATATAACTATCAGCTCTTACAGGTACAACCAATCAAGCCAAGCACGTTTGACAACTAATCTCACAAACAGCACATGAAGCCACAACACACAAAGAAGAAGACTCAGGTCCGATGCAAATAAACGCAGCATGCAAATCTGCCACACATATCTCGAGAAATGAAGGGGACATAACTTGAGACTAGGTAACAAGGAACTGGTGAAACTTAGAAGCACTTCCGGTGAACAATTGCTGGTCCAGACTCATCATACTCCTCCTTCGATATCCACATCTGGTACATCAATGCCACATCATAACAGAATTCAGAAGTGTTTTCATTTCAGCCATATTATTATGAGTTAAAGTAAAGAAAGTGCACAAGCTGAAAGTAATATAAACAATACATACCTGTTGGAAAGTGCTTAGCGAGGCTAGGATCGACCCTCCTATCCAGACACTGTACTTCCTCTCAGGTGGTGCAACAACCTTGATCTTCATGCTGCTTGGTGCAAGGGAAGTGATCTCCTTGCTCATACGATCAGCGATACCCGGGAACATAGTTGAACCTCCACTGAGCACAATGTTGCCATAGAGGTCCTTCCTGATATCCACATCGCACTTCATGATTGAATTGTATGTTGTCTCATGGATTCCAGCAGCCTCCATACCAATCATGGATGGCTGGAAGAGGACCTCAGGGCACCTGAATCTCTCTGCACCGATGGTTATTACTTGACCATCAGGAAGCTCATAGCTCTTCTCAACTGAGGAGCTGTTCTTGGCAGTTTCCAACTCTTGTTCATAGTCAAGGGCTATATATGCAAGCTTCTCCTTGATGTCCCTTACAATTTCTCGCTCGGCAGAGGTTGTGAAGGTGTAACCCCTCTCGGTCAGAATTTTCATGAGGGAGTCCGTGAGGTCCCGACCAGCAAGATCCAAACGAAGAATGGCATGAGGAAGGGCATATCCTTCGTAAATGGGCACAGTGTGGCTCACACCATCACCAGAGTCAAGAACAATACCTGTAGATTGACACAGAAAAAAGAGAGGAAACTTCAGCCAGTGTAAACAATTAATTTTCACCTCCATTATTTATTCTTGGTATATTAGTTGAGATACTTATTTTTCCCTGAATTCATATCACCGTACAGACTGAGGTGGTAACCACATATGCAGCATATCTGGGTCGAAATCACATAAGCAAGATAGAAGATAAAGAAACCCGGTGGCTTGATATGACCTTGACAGTAACCTCAGATAAACATTTGATAACAGCATAATGGAACCAAAGAGAGATATTACTAGGAAACTGAATCAACACTGAAGTAAAGGGAGAAGCAGGTCATACCAGTAGTACGCCCACTAGCATAGAGGGAGAGCACGGCTTGAATGGCAACATACATGGCAGGAACATTGAAAGTCTCGAACATAATCTGGGTCATCTTCTCCCTGTTGGCCTTTGGGTTCAGAGGAGCTTCAGTGAGCAGCACAGGGTGCTCCTCGGGGGCAACACGGAGCTCATTGTAGAAAGTGTGATGCCAGATTTTCTCCATGTCATCCCAGTTGCTGACAATACCGTGCTCAATCGGGTACTTGAGTGTGAGAATACCTCTCTTGGACTGTGCCTCGTCACCAACATACGCGTCCTTCTGTCCCATCCCTACCATGACACCAGTGTGACGAGGACGGCCCACGATGCTAGGGAAAACAGCCCTTGGTGCATCATCACCAGCAAAACCAGCCTGGAAGATAGATAGACAGACATAATTAGTGGCGTACTTGGAAAGAAAGGAGATAAAGGTTGGACAAGCTAAGGGGGAGAAGGACTGACCTTGACCATTCCCGTGCCATTGTCGCAGACAAGAGGCTGGATGTCCTCACCATCAGCCATTTCTACAGAATTGCTGCAGCATGGCATACAAAGATCAGTGATTATCTTTTTTAATATTTGATTGAATGGAACACTGGATTCGAACACGCATGCTAACTGAAAACACTAAGGCGCCGTTTGGATCCCTTCATTTTGGAGGAATTGAAATCTACATAATGGATTAGGCTATTTGGCTTGGAATTTGACATTCCATAACTTTCCCAAACTCACATATAAGCCTATCTCAAATTCATAGTGTGGGAGATGGAAATGGATTCTATAGATCATTATGCTATAATTCTATTCTCCAACTTATAGCACACTCTTCAACTCACTTCCCTACAATAGAAATGCAACATATAAGTATGTCCCTTGAATGCCTAACAATAAATATACAAATATATTCCATATATAACTATATTAGCTTAATTAATCTATGCCTAAATTGTAATTATTAGAATGAATTCAATTCCAAGGATACAAACGGCCCCTAAATCCAATTCTTGTACAGAAAAAAGGTCAGACAAAGACAGCAATTTTTCATGACTTATTTTTTTTTCCACGCGAAGGCCATCCCCATTTCCATTAAAAGATATTTTTCATGACTTGTAGCGTCTGGAATTTGCAACATGATATTCCAGTAAGGCAACATGTGTGGTGATCTACTTCCGGTCGAAAGACCAACTGCTCTTCACTGGAATCAGACCAACAACTTCAACTGGCACCCCAGTTCAAGCATCCAGTTAGCTCAGACCAATTCGTAAAAGACTAGCAAACTCTTTTTACGCCAGATCCGAATGCAACTGTACTACGCTCGTAACTAGATCAGATCCGAATGCTGCAAGTACGCTACGGTTGTAACTAGATCAGATCCGGATGCAAGCATGCTACACTTGTAACTAGACCAGATCCGGATGCAAGTACACACACAAATGGGAAGCCTCAGCTAGGGTTTGGGAGATCGGTTTCGCCCAGCGGGTAGGGAGAGGGAGAGGAAGGGGCAGGCGAACCTGGTGACCTCTCGTCGCTGGCGAAGGATGTGGAGACCTGGGCACCTGGCGAAGGGCGGCGGCGGCGGTCTCCCCCAGTCGTCGCGACGAGAGAGAGAGAGAGAGAGTTCGGGGTGTGTGGTGTGAATTGAATGATGAAGGGGAGAAGAAAGCGCAGCCACGGTCGGGAGAAAATGGGAATTTTGCGGCTCAGGAAAGATGCACGCTATTTTACTATTTCATATATTTTTTCAACTTCGTAAATTTCTGACCTCATCTTTTTATCGTACGTGATTGTTTTACCCCTGTCTCCTTCTACCTTATCCTCTTGCTCTATTTCTCACGGTCACGGCAATTTCTCCTTTCTCTCCCGTTCTCTCTCCATCTAGACCGGTGTTTGGGCGGGAGCTCGACGTCGGCCGCCGCCGCCCGTCCGCGCCAGGCTGTCGTCGACAGGCCGCGCGTCACCAGGCGCACCGCGCCTCGCTGCGTCCTGTCGCTCCCTACGCATCGCCCTAGACCAACCCTGCAGCTGTCTGCTAGCGCTGTCGGCCAGCGGTTAGGTTGGGTCATCCCCATGCGAAGGCTCCCGCAGTCTAAGATGCGCGCCCGCCTTCGAAGCCTCAACCGCGGCCACATCCTCCCCCCAGAACTAAGGTGAGGCTTCAAGGCGCCCATATTCAGGATTGATTTATGGATTCAATGGGTATAGTGTTAACTTAGGGTTTTATACGAGTAAGAAGCAGTGATTTTCTTATGTGCTTGTGCTATGGATTGCAATCGGAGTGATGTAGTTACCGGGTATGCATCATTATTTACTCTTTGTTGTACAAATATATCTTACTACGACTAGTTGTATGGTATACGTGTAGTGTTCTAACTCTGTAATGGATGTTTTTAGGCTCGATGCGGAGCCTGAGCTTAGTTTAGTGCCTGTAGACGGTGGCATTCTAGAATAGCCACAGGGACATGTCGTTAATTGGGATGAATTACGGATTGAGGAAAGGCAAGATGATGAAGTGAAAGGAAGGTTATAAATTTTTTATGAGGATGAGCTATATTGTTTGCTGGGCCTGAGAACCGAGGATGATCATGGCCAGGGTGCTGCTGATACTACTTCAAATGATGATCAGGCTACCGTAAACAATGGTAGTACAGTCCCTGATGTTGACACTAGAGGTGCAGCTATCCCTGTTGATGATGCAATACCGGAGGAGAGGGTGATGGTGTATGACCCTAACAAACCATGCATGGATATTGGCATTGTGTAACCCAACATGGTTGAGTTTAGATTGGCGGTGAGACAGTTTGCCATTAATAAAGAGTTTGCACTACACACTGTGAAAACAGACACAGAAAGGTTTATTGGGAAGTGCATGGCACCAGATTGCCCTTGGCATATTAATGGTAAAAAACAACATCATTCAAAAACTGTTATGGTATACAGAATTTTTTTGTTATATGAATATGACTTCTTTTTTCGAGTTATGGCAATGTTCTAATTTATGTAATAATGCAGGTTATAGCTCTCATTGCTCAACATAATTGTTCATCCAGTGTGAGGAGACTTACTACTACACCCACTGTTACCTGGGTTGCTTCAAGGGGTATCAAGCACCTCAAGAAGAACCCAAATATGGGCCCAAAAGAATTGAAGAAGCAGCTGCAAGATGACCACAAATGTGAAATTCATTATGACATCGTTTGTAAGGGGAGATAGATTACAATGAAAGAGTTGTTTGGTAGCTAGGAGGAAAGCTTTCAAATGCTCTATATTTGGAGGGTAGAGGTTCTGAAGCACTCACCAAACAGTGTCATTGAGATTGACATCAAGATGATTGATGGCAAGGTACACTTTCACAGGTTCTTTTGTGCTTTAAGTCCTTATATTGAGGGTTTTCTAGAGGGATGCAGGTCTTATCTTAGTATAGACTCCACTGCGTTGAATGGTAGATGGTGTGGACACTTAGCAGCAGCCATTGCTCTAGATGGACACAATTGGATGTATTCTATTGCATTTGGCTTCATAGATGGTGAGACAACAGAAAATTGGGAATGGTTTATGACTCAGTTGCATAAGGCCATAGGAGACCTACTTGTTCTTGCTATTTGCACTGATGCATGCAAAGGTCTAGAGAAAGCTGCTAAAAATGTGTTTTCTCATGCTGAACATAGAGAGTGTTTTAGGCATCTTATGCAGAATTTCATTAAGAAGTTTGGGCGTGATGTTTTTTCGAAGATGTTTCCTACAGCTCGAGCATATAGAGTTGAAGTATTTCAATATTTCTTTAAATTTGTTAGAGAGACTAGCGATCAAGTGATGGAATGGCTTAACCATCATCATAAATTGTTGTGGATGAGAAGTGCATTTAACCCTAAAATCAAGTGTGATTATATAACCAACAACCTTGCTGAATGTTTTAATAATTGGATCAAGGACTGGAAGGACCTTTTTGTATTTGAGCTTGCTGATAAAATTAGAGAGATGCTAATGGTATTGTGGAGGAAGAGAAGGCAGATTGGACAAAAGCTTAATGGGAGAATTTTACCTACAGTCATGCGTCAGCTGAAAACGAGAACCAGAGGCTTGGGTCACTTGACAGTTATCACCTCTGATAGTGTTGCTGTAGAGATATGGGAAATTAATAGCATCCATAATAGGCATGTAGTGAAGACTTATCTCCGTGAGTGCACATGCCTTGAGTGGCAACACACTGGTAAGCCATGTCAACATGCTTTGGCTTTGATTACAGCCCAACAAACTGTGGATGTGGATCTTGAGGAATTTGTCCATAAATACTATTCAGTGGAAAAATTCAGAAATGCCTATAAGAGATTAATAGAGCCACTCCCAGATAAAACTCAGTGGCCATATGTGCCACTTCCATTTACAGTTGGGGCACCATTGGACAAAAAGGTGCTGGGAGGTATAGGAAGCTACGGATAAAAGGATGTCTTGAAGAAGTAAGTGGTGGCAAAGGGAAAAAGGCTACCAAGGAGGCTACCAATGAGGCTGATAAAGCTGCTGAAGAGGAGGCTATGCAAGCTGCTAAACCTAAAAGGCAATTGGTAAGAGGGAAAAGAATATGTAAGGGGTGTGGAGAATTAGGTCATGGAGAAACAAGCTACAAGTGCCGTCTAAATGGGACAAAGAAAATGTACTGATTTCTTTAGTTTCTGTAACTTACATTTACTAAATGGGACAAACAAGCTACAAGTGCCTAAATTGTTCTAACTTGTAGGAAAAGGAAGCCTAGGACAAATACAACCAAGTATGTGAAGAATGGTGACAAGAAAACTAAAAAACCTACTGAAAATACTCCTGTCTAGTCTGAAAATGTTGTTGTCCATACTGAAAATGCTGCTGTCCATGCTTAAAATGCTGTTGTCCAGCCAGAAAATGCTGCTGAAAATACTCCTGTACAGGCTCAAAATGTTGTCGTCCATACTGAAAATACTCCTGTACATGCTGAAAATGTTGCCACAGCTAAGGCCAATATTTTTTCAACAAGTCCAGAAAGGTTGATTAGAAGGTACTACGATTCTTTCATGAACCCATTATAATTCTTTCATGAAAATGCTGCCGTCCATTACAATTCTTTCATGTTGCAGCCGACTTGTTGTACTACTTGGAGAAGGGCCAAGTACATTGCTAATCATTTATCGCCAAACAAGAAGGCTACAACTTCACCAAAACCAAAGAAGGGAATATCGAAGAAGTTGATTTCAAGGAAGTTGAAGACGAACTGAGATGTGAATTTAAAAAACTCTATTGTAATGCCTATGTATGAGCTGGCATTTGAAAAACTCTACTGTAATGCCTATGTATGTGGACATGTATCTCGATCATGAAATTATATCTCGACCTTATCCTATTTGAAAAACTCTATTGTAATGTCGACTGTTGTAACGTAAATGGTACCTATGTATTGTGTGAACCATTATGAAATCTACTATATTTCTGGAATGTTATTGTGATCATAAAATTATGTCCAAATTCTTTCCAAATTCAATTGAAATTCTATCTAAATT